AGTGATGGACCACGAATGTGGAGGCAGTCCCTTAAGATGAGATTGCCTAGCACTCTCTGAGCCCTGTTAGTGTGTGCAGGTGAAGGTTAGGGTTAGGGTTAGGGTTAGGGTTAGGGTTAGGTTTAGGGTTAGGGTTAGGGTTAGGGTTAGGGTTAGGGTTAGGGTTGGGTTAGGGTTAAGGTTAGGGTGATGTTCAGACAATGAGAAAATTGCCTAACACATTTCTTAGAAGACATCTCCAGCATTCATTGATGCACAGCTGTGCATCATGTGGCCTAATGAGTACCCAGGTGTATTTAATGTTGTATTAGGGCCCTGAATATGAATATGGCTTAAATTCAAATGGCCTCTCCAAAACTCGAGCATTGGTATTGGGAGGTGGTACTTTGAAGTGGTTCATTAAGTCCTGAGGCTTGCACCCTCATGACTGGAGGAATGCCATTATCCCAGCAGGGGTCAGTCATGGAAATGAGCTCCCTCTCACACCACCCTCTCTGTCTTGCAGGTGAGATTCCATGTTGTGTGATGTCCTCGGCCATGTTGTGATGCAGGAAGAAGCCCTCATGAGATGCCAGTGCTAAACTCTGGCACTTCCCAGCCCCTACAACTGGAAACAGTGCATTTCTTTTCTCTATATACTACCTAGTCTCTGGTGTTCTGTGACAGTCACACAAAACAGAGTAGGACTGGAATATTATAGAAATAAATTCAAGCGGGCGCTGCAGCTCACTAGGCTAATCCTCTGCCTGCGGCACTGGCACCCCAGGTTCTAGTCCCGGTTGGGGCACTGGATTCTGTTCTGGTTGCTCCTCTTCCAGTCCAGCTCTCTGCTGTGGCCTGGGAAGGCAGTGGAAGATGGCCCAAGTGCTTGGGCCCCTGCACCTGCATGGAAGACTAGGAAAAAGCTTCTGACTCCTGGCTTTGGATCTGTGCAGCTCTGGCCATTGCGGCCATTTGGGGAGTGAACCAGTGGAAGGAAGGCCTTTCTTTCTGTCTCTTCCTCTCACTGTAACTCTACCTCTCAAATAAATAAATAAAATCTTTAAAAATTATATGTGTATATTAATGTTTACATGAAGCAAATATGGGAAAATGTTAAAAATTGTTAAATCTGTGTATACTCAATGAACTGTTATTTTTAATTTTCTGTACTTAAAATAAAAAGACCAAAGGTTGATCTTTAAGTTATTGCATGACTCAAATAAATATCCTTACAGCAATGGGAAATTTTTCATGGTTTTATCTTATAACTGTATATGTACTGACAATAGCACATGTATAATTATGGTATTTTTATTTACAAAGAGGTTGTTTTAGAATTTATATTCTTCCATGCTCCATCCTCACTTCAATGGTGGTTTTATCTTTCTCAAGCACAAATTTGACTTTATAGTTTATATATGCCATGAATGAATGAATGGCATATATAAACTATACATATATAACTATAAACTATAAATATATATATATATAAACTATATATATATAGAAGGCAATATATATATATATAACTATAAAGTGCAAGTCCATTAACATGATTTAAAGGCTCTGTACTACTGGACCACAAACATTTTTCCCAAGCATTTGATTCTCCCATATTTCTAGGCATGTGTTGACCCTGGATGACTCACCATGTTACAAATGACGTGGTGACAATTCCTATAACACACTTTTGCACCAACACACCCTTTCAGGTCACAGTGCACTTCTCTGTGGTGTGTTCTTGTACATCCTCCTCTTTAATACCTCCAATTGCATCTCTTCAGTAAAGATTTGCCCTCCCATCCAAAATTATGCATGCTGTCTCATCACAAAGCACTTTATCAGCAACTTTCCAAAGGCAGTAGCCCTCTATTTCATGGTGGGAAGCAACTTGTTTCCAAACGCGTTTGATCCTCTGATTAGTTGTAAACTTTAAAACAAGATCACATCTTCATCTCTGATTTTTCTATACCTGGCATCATGTATATTTTTAAGCCAAGTTGATCAATGCAAGTCATGCTGAATGAATATCTCTTCTTGAATTAACTATAGGAAAAATTTGGGTTTGAAAAAAGTATATGAGTTGGTACAGTTTGTTTGCCTTGGATATTGTTTATATTGAATTTATTGTGAAGGCAATACTCAATTTCATAATACTATTAGAAAATAAGGGTAAACAGCAGCTACAATATTATTTGAAATATTTAAGTCATATCATTCCAAATTGAATGCAACGTTGAGTGGTCTTTTACTTCTACATAAGTGGTATAGTATAGTTTTGGTGACTGAAAAACTGTTTTCAGACAAGATTTGGGTATGGTTTGGGACTTCAAAGGTAGAATCTGAAAAGGCAAAGATTATAATGGAAGATAAACAGGAGGCTAAACACACACAAATGACTGGGCAATTATGAACTAGAGTACACACTCATTAGAAGGGAAATGATGCTAAGAAATGAAAAAGAAAAAAATCTAAGTTATTGGAATTAGATATGGGAATAGGCAGTTTGGCTTTCAGTTGTTTGAGGGAGAGAGAGAGAGAGAGAGAGAAATAAGAGCTCCCCCTCTACCAGTTCACTCTGCAAATGCCTACAAAGGCTGGTTGTGGGCCAGGCCGAAGCTTGGAACAGGGAGCCCAATCCAGGGCTCCCATGTGGGTAGCAGGAATCCAATTCCTGAGGCATCACTGCTGCCTCCCAAAGTTTGTGTTAGAAGGAAGTTGGAAGAGGAGCCAGAGACTAGTATTGTACCCAGTCAGTCCAATATGGAAGGTAGGCTGGACTAAAGTGCTCACTCCCATATTTGGGGGTATTTAAGTCTTAATTTGTGCAACTTAGCCTCACATTGAAAATTTATAAACTCTATTGAGATAATGTGTCATTATTGGAATCCATCAGGTTTGCTTTTTATAACTGCTTTGATAAGAATTTATGGATATCCTCTAAGAGCAACTGGATTTATGAATCTAGTTTGAATAACAAAATGATTGTATCCTAGGCAAGTATAATTGCTTTTTACTTATGACTTGACTGTGATTACTATTCATATAAAATTATTCCCATCAATTACAAGCCACTTAATTTTCCTACAATTTCCCATACTAGCTGCAAGTAGCTGACAAGTAAATTTGATTTGATTAACTATATCAATCAAATAAAGGGGTTTTCAGCAAAACACCAGGCATATTTGAAGCTATAAGTGGGTGAGAAAGAAGTCAAGCACTATTTAACAAGCTTTAGATACAAGAGGAAGCTAAAAGTAGGAAGTGTGAGAGCACCATTTGGACAGGGGTTGGCATTACATTTTATGGTTTCTCACGTAATTTGTGAAGAACTAAACACAAAAGTAAATGTTTAATTTGCTATAATTAGGGGCCGGTGCTGTGGCCTATGGGTTAGGTCTTCGACTGTGGCACTGGCATCCCATTTGGTCACTGATTCAGGTCCCAGCTGCTCCACTTCCAATCCAGTTCCATGCTGGTGTGCCTGGGAAAGCAGCAGAAGATGTCCCAGTTCTTGGGCCCCTGAACTCACATGGGAGACCTAGAAGATGCTCCTGGCTCCTGGCTGCGGATCCACTTAGCTCTGGCCATTGTGGCATTTGGGGATGAACCAGCGGATGGAAAATCTCTTTCCTGTGTCTCCCACTCTCTGTCTGTAACTTTGCCTTTCAAATAAACAAATAAATCTTTAAATTAAAAAAAAATTGTTATAATTATTATATATCCAGAACAGCCCTCTGCACATAATGTTATACTAATTTCAAAGCTAATGTCCTTAATAACAATGCCTCTCAAACTCTAATGCACATGTGAGTTACCTATGGATTTTTTTAAAAAAGATTTATTTATTTATTTGAAAGTCAGAATTAGAGAGAGGAGAGGTAGAGAGAGAGAGAGGGAGGGAGGGAGAGAGAGGGAGGAGAGAGGTCTTCCATCTGATGGTTCACTCCCAAATTGGCTGCAATGGCTGGAACTGCACCGATTCAAAGCCAGGAGCCAGGAGCTTCCTCCGGGTCTCCCACATGGGTGAGGGGCCCAAGGACTTGGGCCATCTTGTACTGCTTTCCCAGGCCACAGCAGAGAGCTGGATAGGAAGTGGAGCAGCAGGGTCTCAAACCGACGCCCATATGGGATGCCGGCACTTCAGGCCAGGGCGTTAATCCACTGTGCCACTGCGCTGGCCCCATCCTATGGATTTTTTAAAACTCACAGATTCTGATTATCTAAGGGTGGATCCCAAGGAGTTGCATTATCAACATGTTTTCACGTCATGGCTGCAAGGGCAGGGAACAATCCTAGGTGGGGTCTTTGAGTATCACTGCTCTGTGTAATGGAGTATATTAATGCTAGATGTTTATCTCATTTTGGGGAACATTATCATTTATGAGAGACAAGATCTGGACCCTGATGGGCTGTGGATATCCCATGTGGGTGTTGGTTTGAGTCCCGGCTATTCCACTTCTGATCCAGTTCCTTGCTAATGGCCTGGGAAAAGCAGCAGAAGATGGACCAAGTGTTTGGGCCCCTGCTACTCACCCACATGGGAAACCTGATGAAGATCCTGGCTCCTGGCTTTGGTGTGGTCCAGCACAGGCTGTTGCAGCCATCTGGAGTGAATCAGCAGACGGAAGATCTCTTTCTCTCTCTGTCTCTCCCTCTCTCTCTGGACTCTGAATTTCAAAATAAATAACTCTCAAAAATAATTTGGATCTGAGACTGACTGAACATCCCCTCTTCGGTCATGCATTGCTTTGCAGTACTACTCTTAGAACCGGCAAGTGGAGGCCTGGTTCCAGTCCTGTATCTGAGAGCTTTGCTTTTCGGAGTGCTTTCTTTGAAATTTTCCAAGTTCCCTTCTGCTGCCAGCCCTGTTTCTCCCCTCTGGGGTGGTCTCTTTTTCCATCCTCACATATAGGGTTGACCAGATGTCTCGGGGAATTCTGTAACTTATGCAGTCATTCTGATGTCTTGCATCCAGGATCCAGTTCTGGGATCCTGGTTGGTATGCTGGTTAACAGGTATTTCTTAAAAAAAAAAAAAAAAAAAAAAAAAAAAGATTTATTTATTTGAAATGCAAAGTGACAGAGATGGGGAAAAAGAGAGAGAGAGATCTTCTATTTACTGGTTCACTCCCCAAATGCCCACAACAGCCAAGTCTTGGCCAGGGCATTGCCAGGAGCCAGGAACTCCATTCAGGTCTCCCACAAGGGTGCAGGGACCCAAGCACTTGGGCCACCATCTGCTGCCTTCCCAGGCACACTAGCAGGAAGCTGTATCAGAAGCAGAGTATCCAGGGCTTGAACCTGCACTCCAATAGGGGATGTAGATGAAGCTCCTGGCTCCTGGTTTCCATCTGGCACAACCCTGGGTGTTGTGGCCATTTGGGTAATGAACCAGCAGATAAACGATCTCTTGCTCTTTGTCTTTCCCTCTCTTTCGGTAACTCTGCCTTTTAAATAACTAAAATAAATCTGTTTTTTAAAAAAATGGAGTTAAAATGGAAAGTTCTCTGCTTGGCACTTAACACTGGGATTTATTTTGAAGTGATTTTTTATTCCTTGACATGTGCACCTCATGATATTTTTTAGTTGCTGGTATATAATTACCCAATAAAGTAAAACCAAAATCAAATACGTTCAAGGACTTTTTAAAGTGCAGAACAGATGTTGAGATTTCACAATTGCAAACCTGTGTAAATATTTGGTTCACCAAGTTAGGTAAATAAAATGGCCTCATTATTTACCATTGTGCTGTGAGAAATACTGAATACCAGGGGAAAGATATGAGGGAAAAAGTATTCCTTTCCAACTTAAATGCCAATGAGCAAGACAAAAATTTAATTTTCCCACAGAGAAAAAAACTCAGAGCAATATCAAAACTCACTATCAGAGTATCATCACAAAGATTTTGAGGGAGATATTTTGGGAGTGTCTTGTCCAAAATTTTAATGCTCTTACTCTCCCACTTATCAATTCTATATGTGGTGATTTATTTTATAACGCATTTCCTCAACTTTGCAAACATAAATACAAAAGCACATTCATTTAACTTTCCATGTGACTCAGACACTTAGTTCATTTTGCTGCCACAAAAGTACCACAGACTGCATTAGGAATTATGTATAAATGATATAAATTTATTTCTCATAAATCTCCAGTTTTGAGAAATAAAAAGACAAGAATTTAATCTTGCTCATTTGATTGCTACTAGTGCCAAACTGGTGCTTTAAGAATTGACAGTGCTGAAAAAAGGTGAATGAAAGCTTTGAAGCCCTTAGCTTCTAAACGTAGCTTCACATCATTATCGTGTGCACGTCTGTAGCACACTTCATTTTGTTTTCATTTTGTGGCCAACCACTGCTTCAAATTGAATGTTCTGTATACGACTGATAGCTGCCAAGACACGTTCAGGAAGAAACCTGTAGAAAAGACGAGATGAACACTTCTCAATTTAAAATCCTTGGTACAAGAGTCCTTTATGGTTGTCAGTTAAAATGCTCTGTTATCTGGCTTGCATTTAATTTTCCTCCATTCTTCCTTTGCCTGCCTCTCTCCCTCTCCATTCCTGCACCGCCCTGTCTTTTCTCTCTCCCTCTCTCTATCACATCTCGTTAAACTGAAAATGAAGACAAATGATAGAGATAGCGCCCATATACTGATTTACTCCCCAAATTCCCGCAGAGGCTGGGTTTGGCCTGGGACTGAATCTGGGAGCCAGGAACTCAATTCTGGCCTCCTACGTGGGTGGTAAGGATCAAATTATTTGAATCATCATTGCTGCCTCAAAGAATCTGCATTGGCCAGAAGCTGGGGCCAGGAACCAGAGATGGGCATCAAACCCAGGTACTCTGAACTGCTAGAACATACACCTTCTCCTTTTTTTTTTTTTTTTTTTTTTTTTTTTTTTGACAGGCAGAGTTAGACAGTGAGAGACAGAAAGGTCTTCTTTTTCCGTTGGTTCACCCCCCAAATGGCCGCTACGGCTGGCGCGCTGCGCCGATCCGAAGCCAGGAGCCAGGTGCTTCTCCTGGTCTCCCACGTGGGTGCAGGGCCCAAGCACTTGGGCCATCCTCCACTGCACTCCCGGGCCACAGCAGAGAGCTGGACTGGAAGAAGAGCAACCGGGACAGAATCCGGTGCCCTGACCGGGACTAGAAACCCGGGGTGCCGGCGCCACAGGCGGAGGATTAGCCTAGTGAGCCGCGGCGTTGGCCTCCAACTCCTCTCTTGTATGTAGGTCTTTTTTTATTTTATTTTTTTAAAGATTTCTTTCATGGGGCCAGTGTTGTATAGCAGTTAAGCCACTGCCCACAGCGCCAGCATCCCATGTTGGGGCTGGTTCGAGTCCTGGCTGCTCCACTTCTGGTCTAGCTCCTTGCTAATGGCCTGGGAAAAGCAGAGGAAGATGGCCCAAGTGCTTGGGCCCCTACCACCCACATGGGAGACCCGGATGGCGTTCCTGGCTTCTGGCTTTGGCCTGACCCAGCTGTGGCCGTTGCGGCCATCTGGTGAGTGAACCAGCAGATGGAAGACCGATCTCTCTCTCTCTCTCTCTCTCTCTCTCTCTCTTTTCCTCTCTCCTGTCTCTCCTTTTTTCTCTCTATATATGACTTTACCTTCAGTCAGGCCAAAGCCAGGAGCCAGAAGCTTTATCTGGTCTCCCACGTGGGTGCAGGGGCCCAAGGACTTGCACCATCTTTCACTGCTATCTCAGGCACATTAACAGGCAGTTGGATCAGAATAGGAGCAACCAGGGCTTGAATCTTCACCGACATGGGATGCTGGCATTGCAGGCAACAGCTTAACCTAAATTATGTCTCATCACCGCCCCATGTATGTGTCAAAATAAATGCAAATATATGGAAAACACTGACATATATCACTCTTCTCACCCTGTCAATTTGTATGAGCAAATCATACATGAGGTCATCTATCAGTAATAATCTAAAGCTGAAGCTCTGAGCTCACTGCTGAAATGATCCATCCTGATGCTAAGAGCTCACAAAGCGACACCACCAGAACCCGCTCCGTCATCACTCCACCTCTCCTCAAGTATTTACTGAACATGTAGCACACAGTCTACACCAAGGTTAACCAAAGCACTTAAACATAGCTACTGCATTTGAGGAGTTACTGTTCAGCTGAGAGGAGGAACATTTCAAAACGATGACTGACTGTGATGGGCAGGACGTGAGAGGCCAGATGAAAAGGAGAGAGCAGCAGTGACTACAGGGGGCAGAAGTGACATGCTCTGCAAAGTCATGTGGAAAATCATTCAATACTGTTCACTAATGCAGGACTTTCTTCTCTCTCTTGGGGATGGAGTGCTGGAAGATGGGGGCACGCCCAAAGGGGCAGGGGACAGCTGGGATGGCGGAAGGACAAGGCTAAGAAGAGAGCTTGTGGGAGCCTTTTAAAAAGAGTAGCTAGAATGTGGAGTTTATAACATAAGAAAATAAAATCAATGACAACAACAGCAAAAGGCCTGGGAGGGGAGAATGGAAGTGCTCTTAGGTTCCTGGATTATGCATGAAGTGGTATAATAGCATAGGAAAGTAGACAGTGGTGACATAAAGATGCGCATCATGAATCCTAAAGTAACAGTTGATGTGCCAACAAAGGAAATCAAATGAAAACATGAAAATAGTTAACCCACAGAAAGCAGAAAAAGGAAGAAAGAACAGACAGGAACAAATGAAAAACAAGATGATCTTTAAATATACTGACGTACATACTCATATTAAAGTGCATGGTCTAACCACACCAATTGAAAGGCAGAGATTATCAAATTCGAATTAAAAAAAAAAAAACACAGAAAAAACAAGGTTCAACTATATACTGCCTTTAAGAAACATACTACAATACACTATTAAGGAAAAAGGTTAAAAATACAAAGATGGAACCAGATATACTAAGATAACAATCTAAAGAAGCTACAGTGACTGTTAATTTCACACAAAAGTAGATTTCTAAGCAAAGACTGCTACTCAGAACAAACTAGATCATTTCAAATTGAAAAAGCAGTACATTCATTCATGGGACCTAATCCTTAATGACATTTTCAATAGCATCAAAACCATAAAATACTTTGGGATAAATCTGACTAAAGACATGCAAGACTTGAACATCAAAAAACTATAAAATATTGCTTAAAATTTTTAAAGATAAAAAAGAAAGACATACTGTGTTATTGGATTGAAGAGTTAATATTGTTACTGTATCAAAATTTTCCAAGTTGATCCATGGATTCAGTGCAATCCCAATCAAAATTCCAGAAGACTTTTTAAAAAGAGCCTTTTTTTTAACCAAAACTTTAATCCCAAGGATTCTCACAAAAACATATTACAAATGACAGCATGAAAAAAATAATCTTGCGCAGTAACTCGAAGTTCAGCTCTACAATGTACCCTTAAACTGGCAGGACATTGATATTTTCTGAAATCTCACTTTTCCCAATAAAGACTGTTATATAAACAGCTATGTATTCTATATTGCAATTACATAAGGAACTTATCACCTAGGCAAAGGTAAACTTTCTGGAAACTTACTAGATTCTAGACCAACTAGACAACCTCTGCCCAGGGTAAGACTAGCTGGGTTTTTCCAAAAACCTCTAATCTATATTTAATGGTGCAGCTAAAAAAGAGCCTTTATTATTAACTATTTCATTACATTGTGTTCTTTTTATATGGTCTTTCCTCCCATTAGCATAATCTTGAGCAAAGACTGGGCAAACACGGTAGATGTACTATAGAAAATGAGTAATTTTTTTTGAAAAAATAAGATAATAACACAGAGTATGTAACTGTTGTCCCCAGAAATGCAATTTTCATGGCAAATTTTAAAACTGACACTCTCCATATAGCAACAGCTCTGTAGGTGTTTTAGTACTTTAAGTGTTCAGTGCTATACTTACTTTTCCAGAATTAGTGAGATATTGATATATGATGGGACAAAAATCATTTTCTTATTGGTAAGTACTCCATCTATTAGACTTCTTGCAACTACATCTGTCTCCAAAACAGGCCATAATCTGTGATTAAAAAGAAAAAAGTTTATCTTTATTTAATTTTTAAAATTTTCTTAATAAAGGTGGGAAAATAACCCATCTTTTACCAAATTTAGAATTACAATTTAGGAGTGGGCTGCATATCACAGTGTTAGGGTTCAAGTCTCAGCTGCTAATGCCTACCCTGGAAGGCAGCAGGTAATTGCTAAAATACTTGGGTTCCTGCTACCTCTGTAGAAGACCCAGGTTGAATCCTAGGCTCAGCCCAAGCTGTTGCGGGCATTTGGGTAGTAAACCAGCAGATGGAAGATTGATTTCTGGCTCTGCTTTTGAAAATTTTGGATTTAAGTTGTTCCAGAATTTGCTGGACAAATGCCACCTTCCCCCATTCCTCACATCCCATGTGGATGTTTTGTTATCATGAGTGTTTCTTAGGTCATTCAGTGAGGATGGTGGAGTGGCATTAGATGGTAAGGAGTGGAGGCATCAGGCAAGAATGAAGAGTGAGCAGGATTAATCAGAGGACAGGAAGGAGACATTTGGCATCTTGAGATCTGTTGGATATAAGGAGAATATTCTATAGCTAAGGATCCTTTCTTTCTTATGGTAGTATTCCATAAAGCTGGATTGTTTTGAGGGTATTTCGTTTTTGAGATTCACCTCTGACTTGCGTATCTTGCAGTTGAATGAGAACTGCAGATAGGCACAGTCTATTATTACAACTGGAGGTGTGCCCTTCCTCATACTGAAGATCGTGTGCCTGTGTGCTGGAGAAATAGTTGTAACCACAAGCCCAGTGTAGAACTGCCCACTGGTGCAAGATCGTGACAGAAAACTAGCACTTGAATTTATCCAGTGAAGGATTTAAGCTGAATCAAAGTTAATATAATTAGGCATGGCTAAACAGTCAGTGGTTAGACAAGTGAAGTCACCAGAGCCTGAGATATGCTGTAGTTTACTGCAGATTGCTAGGTGATTGAGGTGCTGACGGTGTTGACCAGAAAGCCAGCCAAGAGTGCTACAAATCATCTCTTTTCTCAATTATTGGTCCTACCTCTTCTGTTCCTGATTCCACCTGCCTGGACCCATGAACCCAGTCCCCGGGCCAAGCATGACATTAGCATTTCAATGCCTTAGGCCCTGATGAGGAAATTCAGAATCCAGAAACTAACTCCAAATCTTCAACAGTGTCTGAATCTGTCTATTCCTCAGGATGCCTCCAGACACACACTCTTTATCCTTACCCCCCTCTCCTGTTGTACCTTCCCCACCAGGGGCAGGGTCCTCTTGGCAAAGCTCCTTATGCACGAAGCCAAGCCTGAATCTTACCCAGCGGATTTTTGGAGGAGACCAATTTTCTATCTTAAGATGATGACATGGTGTTGTAATGGTACCACAGCATTTACTTAAATACCATATCCTACGTTATTGTTCGATACCATTAAGGACTCCAGGCGTAGGGTGTGTGCCTGGGGGTGGGGAGGTGACCCTGGCTGCAGGGACATCACAGATAACTCAGAGTTTGAATCAATAGTCTCAGAGGAGGCTGAGCTCAGAAGAGAATTTGTTAGTTCTTTTAACAAATATATCTCCTAGTCACAAATTGGTTTCTTTTTTATTTGTTGTTTTCTTTTTGAGGGAGGGAAGAAAGAGGGGAGAGAGAGAGAGAGAGAGAGCAGGTTCTCCCATCTGCTGGTTCGTTCTCCAAATGGCTGCAATGGCTGGAGCTGGACCAATCTGAAGCCTGGAGGCAGGAGCTTCCTCCAGGTCACCGGTGTGGGCACAGAGGCCCAAGCACTTGGGTCATCGTTTGCTGCCTTCCCAGGCCATCAGCAGGGAGCAGGATCAGAAGTGGAGTGGCCGGGACTCAAACCCTCACCCATGTGGGATGCTGATACCTCAGGAGTGGGTGCCTTTACCTACTGTGCCATAGCGCTGGCCCCACAAATTGTTTTCTGATTGGCGAGGTTAGTGTCCCTTGGAATCTTGCAGCATGGCATATACTAGGACTGACGCTCATTTGTGAGGCAGATTGCTGAATTTTAGGGCCCTTGTCCCCTCATTTCTGCTTTTCTCTTCCTCTTTCAGGACCAGTGTCTCCTCTCTTCTCTCAAGGCCACTCTCATCAGAGACCAAGTTCTTGCAGAAATTCACCCTGACTAAGGAGCAAGGGGCTCAATTTACTGCTGCTTGTAGAAACATTTGCCTTTTTAGAGGACAGAGTGGTAGCAATGACCAAAGGCACGTGGTTATATTTAGCATATTAATGTTTTCCAAACTTGCCTCTGGACTCACCTGGTATGTTTTGGAAAAGGAAGCACCTCTGAACATTTGCTCTTCATGGAAGCCTAAGTAGTGATTCTGAGGATCAGGCAAGTGTGCAAAATGTAGACTACTGTACGTTAGCACTGTGGCCAGTGCTGTGGAAGATTTAAAGGGGCGTCTACCCTCACCTTTCCTTAAACTCTAAGGAGGATGAACTACTGCTGGGGGGGGGGGGGCAGATCTTAGACACCATTCATCTTGGGGGCGTGGCTGTCAGCATGGAAGCTGCTGGTTGTTCTTCAGCCCACCTCATGACATGCCCACTCACTTTTGGCATCTGAGTGTGTGCGAACTTTTCCCAGGAAAAATAAGTAACCAGTTGCCTAGCTCCTCAGCAGCAGATTGCTCTCGCCAGTCCCTAATGTGTTTTTCCCCTTTCATTTGGTTTCCAAGTGACAACATAAAGCCAACACAAGCACAAGAACAAGGATCTTTTTTTCCCCTTTTTTTCTGTTCAGTCAGTTGCCCCACCTACAATTTTTTCATATGGTTTTCACAGCAATTTCTTACATCACATTCGCACCATAATTTAATTTTGACCTCACCTCGTGCTTGGGTTTTTGGTGAAGCCCGTATTCACAAAAACTGGACAGAGACATGATGTTTTGATTCCAGTTTTTCCCAAGGTTTCAAGTTCTGATGTCAGAGCTCTGTGAAAGCCAACAGCAGCAAATTTGCTGGAACTGTAAGAGAATTGTATGAAGCATGATTAGCTAAGAAACTGCTGGAACCCAGTCCTCAGCCTTCTGTGAAGGCTGCATTGTTTGGTTTGAAAGAAAGTAAGACCCCCAAATTATCGACTTGTGATTTCCCTTTTCTTTTTTAAGATTTATTTATTTTACTTGAAAGTCATAGTTACAGAGGCGGGGGGAGGGAAAGAGAGAGAGAGAGAGAAAGAGAGAGAGAGAGAGAGAGAGGTCTTCCATCCACTGGTTCACTCTCCAGATGACTATAACGGCCAGAAAATTTTTTCTTTATTTGAATGGGAGACATGGTGTGTGTGTGTGGGAGAGAGTGAGAGAGAATGAATGAATGAGAGAGAGAGAGAGAGAGAGAGAGAGAGAGAAAGCAAATCTCCCATCTACTGGTTCATTCCCTGATGCCTACAACAGTGAGAGTGGGGTGAGTCCATAGCCAGGAGCTCAGAATTCTATCCAGGTCCTTCAAATAGGTAGTAGGAACCTGCATACTTGAGCCATCACCTGCTGTCACCCAGAATGCCCATTATCAGGAAGCTGGACTCAAAAGTAGAGCCAGGACTCAAACCCAGACACCCCAATATAGGATTCAGGTATCCTAGACAGCATCTTAGCATCTGTGCCAAACAGTCACCCCAGACTAGTGGTTTTTCTGAGAGGATAAATGGTCATTCCTATTCTATGACTGAAGAGAATTCTAAACATACCAAGTTTTTAAAATAGCAATGATAACAAAAGAACAATAATGACTTTATTGGCTGGCTTAATGCTCCCTGTCTCACCTTACACATAATATTGTACTGTCAATCTTCAAACAGTTTTCTAACCAGTTTTTTAATGCTGTTTTTATTTTTTAAAGATAGGAATAAGGAAAAATATATTTGAAATATTATAAAGCTAGTTTTTCTTCTCTCTCTCTTCATTACTGAGTTGACAGTTTCTCTCCTAACACTGGTGGTTCATCTGGCTCCTAAATCTCATCATACGGATTTAAACGCAGACAGAGTGACTATGGGTGTATGGGTGTGTGTGTGTGTGTGTGTGTGTGCAAACTTCAGCACACAACTTACCTTCTTATTTTTCTGATCTTTAAAATGCAGATAATAAAATACAGGCTGCCTTGTGGATTAAATAAAATAGCACACACATAGTAACTTTAGGGCTCTATATAAGTTGTATTTTTGACCCAAGTGACAGTAAGAACAATAAGTTAGTCTAACTGTGTCCTTAAAGGAGAAGGGGGGAAAAAAAGGGGGATTACACATTGGGTTTCTCACATTTCTAAATGTTAGGAAAATAGCAAGTGTTTAATCTGTGAAATTCCCATTTGTGTTGTTAGATGATAGAGGCAACTTAGCCAGCGCTGCGGCTCAATAGGCTAATCCTCCACCTTGCCGCGCCTGCACACCGGGTTCTAGTCCCGGTTGGGGCACCGGATTCTGTCCCGGTTGCCCCTCTTCCAGGCCAGCTCTCTGCTATGGCCAGGGAGTGCAGCGGAGGATGGCCCAAGTCCATGGGCCCTGCACCCCATGGGAGACCAGGATAAGCACCTGGCTCCTGGCTTCGGATCAGCATAGTGCAATGGCTGCAGCGTGCCGGCCACGGCGGCCATTGGAGGGTGAACCAACGGCAAAGGAAGACCTTTCTCTCTGTCTCTCTCTCTCTCACTGTCCACTCTGCCTGTCAAAAAGAAAAAAAAAAAAAAGATGATAGAGGCAACTTTAAACAGGTGTTTCACACCCTGACCCACAGTGAGATTTAACTGCATTTGTGACTGCATTCAGCAGCAAGAGTGCCCCATGACTAAATTTAACCTTGAACATATGTATACAAGTCAATAACAAACCAACTAACTGCCCACCCACTGATGCTCAAGTGTTTGCTATGAGGTTGACACAAAGCAGAAATAAGGAAATGAGATACCATTAGAAGAGTTTCCAAAGAAAGGATATTTTGCAAATAGTATATCCTTAGGGCCTACCATCTCTAGTATTCGTATCTTTTAACCCAGTAGAGGCTTTATTCTCTCTCTCTCTGTCTCTCTCTCTCTCTCGCACACAAACAAGCACACACAAGCACACACACACACATACATGCACACAGACTTTCATGGCATGCATATGCTGGAAAATGTTTGGATCCCAGGGCCCACTCTAATTGGCTTATCTTAGGTACCCAGACCATGATGCAGCTGTGTGTTCTTTTTAACTTCTCTGTATTTTGCTTCTGTGGGCTTCCTGTTTCTCGTCCTCCCATCCCAAAACCTTTTGTTTAAGGAAGACAAACTTCAGGAATTTCATAAGGACAACTTCAGGAACATAGCAATTCTTCCCACTGTACCCACCGTTCCACCTATACTCCCTCCCGTCATCCTACCCCTCTCCTATTCCTATTTCTTTTGTCAACATTCACTCATTCCAGGTTACAATAGAAATACATTCGGCATTACTGTTTTGTTTCATTGCTCTATAGAAGAATTTTCAGAAATATAAAACTATTTGAAACTTAATGGGATTCAACATCCTTGTTTTAGGAGAAGTCATTTTTGAAAATGTATTCTAGGATCCGGCACTGTGGCGTAGGAGGTAAAGCCACCGCCTGCAGTGCAGGCATCCCATATGGACACCGGTTTGAGTCCTGGCTACTCCACTTCTGATCCAACTCTCTGCTATGGCCTGGGAAAGCAGTAGAAGATGGCCCAAGTCCTTTGGCCCCTGCACCCATGCAGGAGACCTGGAAGAAGCTCCTGGTTCCTGGCTTCGGATCAGCCCAGCTCCAGCCATTGTGGCCATTTGGGGAGTGAACCAGTGGATGGAAGACCTCTTTTTCTCTCTCTCTGCCTCTCTCTGTGTAACTCTGACTTCCAAATAAATAATAAAGCTTTTAAAAAATGTATTCCAACTGTTATAAATATTCCATAAAGCCAAATTACTGTTATTTTTGCTTCTGAAGTCTAACAATCCCAAATAAGTACAAAAATACATAGTATTTCTGGCAAGGCTTACCAATAAGGAATGAGATAAGGAATCACTCCATGGCCACACACTGATGCCACTGTGACAATGTGGCCATGGTTTCTCTTCATCATTGATGGAAGAAGTGCTTTTGTGATCTGAAAGATCATTGCAGAAAGAAGAGAAACATTGACACAGGCATTAGATTTCCACCTGAGATAACTTTATTAAGACAGAATGATGGTTGAGAGAATTTCACAATAAAATGAAATACTTGCAAACATCTCCCGAATACTTCTATACAAATATACAAATGATAGAAATAAAAAGATAAAAGTTTGGTTTCAGGGGCATTGTTCACTGTGCAGTGTTTGCTGCATGCCATGAACCCATCTTAGTCCTCCTCCTTCCTTCTCTTTTGAATATGTCCTAAAAACAATATTATTAAGGGAGAAATTCAGAATTTTCAGAACTGAAAGAATCCCCTATGATTATCTGATATATACTTTTCTTGGGTTGAGGCTTCATCATTGTAATTAGAAGATCTGAAATCTTGTGACAGAATCTTGGAATAAGCTAAGACTTTGACACTAACCCACAACAATTATCCTCGCAGGTACACTTGGTATCTCCCTATTGTTAATATCATGGGTTACATGTTGTGTCACAGGAGATAAAAAGTCTTTTTCTTTCCTATTTTGTGAGAAATATAAATCATATTTTATGAGACTTTTATGGACCCATGCTATAGATCCAATATAAAATCATAGATCCAGAATGGTCAACCCAAGCAATCTCCAAAATCCTGACTCACAGAGACTCACAGGATAACACACATTTAGTGTTGCTTTAAATCAGTAAGTGATTCCAAAGCATAGTCACTAATATATGAGGTCTCTACATGTTTGTGACTATGATAACTAATTCAAATTATCATGTGTAAGGAGCAAGGTAAGGTAATAGGACACATTTCTTTTTCTCTTCCCTTTTCCAGAATCCAGATTTTCCTTAAGTTTTATGCAATTTTGAGGCATTTGAATAAATGTTATAAGGAGCTGGCATTTTGGCTCAGTGGATTAAGCTACTGCCTGCAATGCCAGTATCCCATATGAACACTTGTTCAAGTCCCAGCTACTCCACTTCCCAGCCAGCTCCCTGCTAATGCACATGGGAAAGCAGCAGTGGGATGGCCCAGAAGCTTGGGCCTCTGTATCCATGTGAGAGACCCAGATGGAGTTCTAGCCTCCTGGATTTGGCTAACTAAGCCCTGACCATTGAGGTCATTTGGGGAGTGAACCAGCGGATGGAAGATCTTTCTGTCTACCTCTCTCTCTCTGTAACTCTACATTTCAAATAAATAAATCATTTTTAAATGCTCTGTAAAAGGCTTTTGAAATGTATATTTCTGCCCCCCACAAAAGTAACCAATTACAAAGAGGTCTGTATAGCCCTCTAAGTTCCAGCATCTAGAACTTGTCTCAGAGTCCCATCAACTCCCCCACACACCTGAGTAGTTACTTCTGATGTCCTTTGGCGTGAAGTCACCAGTGAATGCACATTGTACATATTTCCTCTAAAGCTTTGAAAAGATGTCCACAACCCATAACAAGAGCCTCTGCAAATATTTGTTGCCAACCTGGAACATAACCAGGCTTTGAGGTAGATCCTGGTGAAGAATTAGACCAAGTGGCTTGCACTCTGGTGTGTTGAGTCCTCTTGAACTGTGTGGCCTTCTGACAGGGACTCCATGGCTCTTTGACTCAAACTTGATGAGTCTTGATTTAAGGCTGACATCTGGCCAGTTTCCCACCAAAAAATATATAAGTTCTATTATGAACTTCCTGTGTCTTAAGAGGTGTCAGACATGCAGAAATCAGAAATGTGTCTGACTCACACTCACCCAAAAATGTCCTAGGATGTTGACTTCGAACGTTTTGGTAATCTCTTCGTCCTTGGTACTAAGAAGATCGGCTGGATATATTGCCCCAGCATTATTCACCACGATGGTTATATCACCTACTTCTTTCTTTACCTTTTAAAATGCAAAGAACACATTGACTGGGTGTGTTACACAAACTGAAAGTTTTGAGGCTGCTATCACCCAGGCATTATATTCTTTATTAAGCAAGATCTCTCAGGGGCCAAGCAGGAAAGAGCTTCTATCTCAGTGATTGCCAAGGAAAAACTGTCATAAAGATGGCTTATTTTTTTTAATTTAACATCTACATTTCAGTACCTAGTACATCATGGATTTTGAAGGCATATCAATAAAGTGAAAACACTTACATTGACCAACTGATATAAAAATTCTGATCAAATATTTCTTAAGTGTTAGTCGAGTAATCTACTATGTACTAGCTATAATGACCTTCATCCAGCTTAACTTCATTGAGCCTTAATTTACTCATCTGTAAAATGATATTAATAAAGTTATTGTAGGGATTCAGTTAAGGAATGTGATGGCTTATAGGAGTCTTTGGATCATTGTACTTAGTATTTACTTGTAGAATATTGCTATAACAATGATAAATATTGTACTTCCCACAGAAGATTAGATTAACACCAAAATATATAAAACTTCACAAAAGAAATATTTAAGTGAAAAAAAATAGGGAATTGCTGCAAAAGTAACCGGACTAAAGGGAAGGTAGAAAGTGAATGATTTCCCCTGCTAATAAATCCTTTGTCAGTCATACTGAACCAGGGCTCAAAGTTCGAATTAGAATGAAATGGAGGGGGCAGGGAGATGGGGTGAGGACGGCACTGTGCCACCATCTCATATGGGCACTGGTTCATATCCCGGCTGCTCCTCCTCTGATCCAGCTCACTGCTTATGGCCTGGGAAAGCAGCAGAAGATGGCCCAAGTGCTTTGGCCACTGCACTCACATGAGAGACCCAGAGGAAGCTCCTGGCTTCAAATCGGCCCAGCTACAGCTGTTACGGCCATTTAGGGAGTGAATCAGCAGCTGGAAGACCTCTCTGTCTTTCCTTCTCTCTGTAACTTTGCCTCTCAAATAAATAAATAAAATCTTTAAAATAAAAAAAAGAATGAAATGGGCAGATTATATGAAAGAACAGTGATGGGCAGAGCTGAGTCTATTTCCTTCCTTGGCCACATACCCACTTCATTTAGCAGCACCTAAAATCTAATTTGACTCAGGCAGTCCTAAAGAACTTTTGTATTTTCCATGTGTGGTGGTGGATATAAAATCTGTGAAGATTTGGGATGCGCAGTCTCACCTGGCTTATGGAACTGTAAATCTCTTCTCTGTTACTGCAGTCCACCACAAATGCATGCACGGTGACCCCAAGTTTTCGGCACTGAGCTGCGGTTTCCTCAACACCTTGCTGTAATTGGAAAAAACAAATTCCGAAAGATTGAAGGAGAAAGCATTTAAAATTCATGAAAAGTTACAATTCATGTCCAGGGGTCAGTGTTGTTAAACCATCGCCAGTGATGCAGGCATCCCATATGGGTGCTGGTTGGAGTCCCAACTGCTCCACTTCTGATCCAGTTCCCTGCTAATGCACCTGGGAAGGCAGAAGATAGCCCCTGCCCTCATGTAGGAGGCCTGGCCCAGCCCCAGCCCTTGCAGCCACCTGGAGAGTGAAGCAGCAGATGGAAGATTCTCTCTCTCTCTCTCTCTCTCTCTCTCTCTCTCTCTCTCTCTGTAACTCTGCCTTTCAATTAAATAAGTAAACCTTTAGTTTAAAAAGAAGAGCAAATATGTTTGAAATGATTACAAAAAATACAGCTCATGTCCAAAATGCCCCTTTATTTGTAAGAAAATTTCTTCCAAGAGGCTCCTTGTCCAACCTGCAAGGAGATTGTGCCTGGCTTTTCTGTCCTGGAGTGCTCACAGGTGTTAGCCAACACAAGGGATCTCTTCTCTTGGGGTATTGTCAAATGATCCGTCTTAAGAGGAAGCTGTGCAGAGGAAAGCTTTGTTTACCAGTAACAAGTAAAGAAAGGAGTAAGGAGGTACAGTTCCTGAAAAGAAATGGTCTCCTTGAGAAGAAGTTTGCTAGGGCTTTTATAGCAAGAGTTAAGGGGGTTCCTAGTACATAGAAAATGTGGCAGAGGGGCCTTCCTGCTCGCAGTATACATCCCAGTACATTATATTTTCAAAAATCTGACTCAAATTAGTTTCTCGCAGCCTCTATCAGTTCCTTGTCTGTGGTGGTCTGGCTTCTTCTGAGCACGATGTTGCAAGGGAAGCTTTCTGGAACAAAACAAGCTCAAAAGATCATGCACTTAGAAACTGGTACAGATTCTCTGCTGGTGTTCCAGTGTACCCTGTTTGCCTAAATCCTACATCTTTGGCTACAGAGGGTACATCAAAAAAGTCTGTGGGAAATGAAATCAAAAGCTAATATTTACTTATCTCAGTGCAAAATTTTTTTTGAAATCCATGCAGTGTTTTTTATGAATTTTTTGAAGACACTTCTTATGCATGGATTTCAAACATTTTGCACCAAAATAAGCTTGTCTTTTAATCCTATTTCCCACAAACTTTTTGAGGTCCCTTGTGTTGGCATCAAGGCAAAACAACAACAAAAGCCCTCATGTTTTTCCAGTTTATCGTCTTGGTTTGGGGTTCTTCTCCACTACAGAGTTTCTCTACACTCAGCTACTTTTGTAGGCTTGAAGAAGATTCTTGAAAGATGTTGTTGTTGTTGTTGTTGTTCTTCTTCTTCTTCTTTTTTTTATTTGACAGGCAGAGTTAGACAGTGAGAGAGAGAAAAACAGAGAGAAAGGTCTTCCTTCCGTTGGTTCACCCCCGAAATGGCCGCCACGACCAGCACTGCGCTGATCCGAAGCCAGGAGCCAGGTGCTTCCTCCTGGTCTCCCATGCAGGTGCAGGGCTCAAGCACTTGGGCCATCCTCCACTGCCTTCCCAGGCCACAGCAGAGAGCTGGATTGGAAGAGGAACAACTGGGATAGAACCTGGTGCCCATATGGGATGCCAGCGCCACAGGCGGAGGATTAACCAAGTGAACCATGGCGCCGGCTCCTGAAAGATGTTGTTCTTTATGGTGCTATGGAAGGAGATATTTGATCACGGAAAGAAAGGAAAACTCAGTCATCTACATGTATATTTGCTGAGCAGCAAAGACATAAACAGGTACCACTTTGAAGCTTCTGGCGATTTAAAACGGTCTGCTGTGAGCTGCCACATTTTGCCAATTTGTCCCTCTAGGAGGGAAGAGGAATAAGAGGAAAAATGATCATTATTTGAGAAAACTTTTCATAGGGAGAGTATGTCTCTGCTTCAGGGACTATAATAGTTTACTCTTCATGTGCATGAAGTGAAAATGGGCAAGGTTTGTGTACCAACCTTACACACAATTGTAGGACAGGGGGACAAAGCAACTTCCTTTTAGCATAAGACCTCTTTCCTAACATAAAATTGTCCTAATGATTCCTTCCCCTGATTCACTGCCCACATTCAAGGGAGTCAGGGACAGTCCAGTCTCACATGTAGGTGGCAGGACCCATCCACTTAAGCCATAACCTGCTGCCTCCCAGCCGGTACCTTAGCTAAGTGCTTGGCTTAGTGGTTAAGCTGCTGGTTGGGACACCCACATTCCATATCAGAGTGCCTGGGATGAACTCCCAGCCCATCCCCAATTCCAGCTTTCTGCTAATGTGCACCTGGGAGGCAGCAGTGACAGCTGATATAATTGAGTCCCTGTCACCTGTATAGGATATCAGATTGAACTTCTATCTCCTAGTTTTGACCATACACAGCCCTGGCTGTCGTGGCCATTGGGGTTGAATCAGCAGATAAAAGCTGTGTGTGTGTGTGTGTGTGTGTGTATGAGAGAGACTGTGCCTTTCAAACCATTAAACCTTAAAAAAAAAAAAACAAAAAACAAAAAACAAAAAACTGAGGCTGAGCCAAATTATGTGACCTGCCCAATTCAAGCAGCTTGGAAATAACCAGGACCCTGAGTCTTTATCAACCTGTATACCATGGCATAAAAATCCCTGCTTAGCTTTCAGTTACATTCTCATCACCTAGCCAACTTGATGCATATGTAAAGCTAATATCAAATTTTGAAAAAGAAAAATATAAGGATAAGCAGATGCTAAGTCAAATGTTTAAAATATGTCTAACACTGTGACTTTAAAGATTGGCAGGAGTTGCCGTTACCTTATTAATATCCCATAGAACCAGTCTGCTTTTCCTTTTTGCAAATTCATAGGCAGTCAGCCTGCCTATTCCATGCCCAGCTCCGGTAATGAGAACAATCTCCCCAGCCACAGATTTTCTTCTTCGAGGAATGAAAAACTTCACCAAGGACTCCAAGTAGGAGTAGATGATGATGACCACAAGCAGGAGGATGTCCAAGACGATGTTCATGGCTCTGCCTCTCCTCCTCTGGCTCAGTCCTTGTCTAGTCCCAGGAAAGAGACACCCTCTGCACGGGGCTCCAGGGAAGAGCTGTGTGTGTGGTATTAATGGGACTGCCAGAGATAAGGCAGGTTATGTTCACGTGTCTGATGTGTCTGACACTCCTTTGAAGCAATGCCAAGTGCCAGTCAAGCTTAGCACAGGTCACGGGAACCACAGAGAATGTGCTCTGGACTTCCTTATCCAAGAAGTCGTGTACCATGTTTCAGCATGAAATTTCACCTCTAGAATTAATTCTACAGATATTGCAGCCGTTAATGGCCTATTGATACCTTTCTGTGAAAAAACAAAAAACTTTAAGGACAGATAAGAAAGAATAGATATTCTAAAAGAAACCTAAAATATGGATCAATCAAGCTTAGATATTTGATTTATTTATTCATGAAAGCTCAGCAGCAACATCTTACTTGCTAATCATTTTACATGTGATGCCCATTTCTTGAAAACCTCTTGATGGGGGATATTTTATAGTTAACAGAGCATTCAGTTGCCTTTGTGAACATATTGGAAAGAGCAATAGCCCAGCAGCCACAAGCCTTAAAAATGGTGTAACTTCTTAGTTCTGGCTGCTGTAACAAACACCACACCTGGGGGGCTTATCTCACAGGTCTGGAGGCTGTGAAGTTCAAGGTCAGGATACCAGCCGATAACATGTTTGATGTGCACTGGCTTTCTGGATTATAGACGGTTGTGTTGGTGTTGTAATCTTACATGAATGTGCTTGTAAAAGATAATGTCCTTACAAAAGATACTCTCAGTGCTATCTTTTACAAGGATGTTAATCCCATGGCAAGACTTCATGCTCTAATCAACCCAATACCCCCTTGGGGGTTAGGATTTCAACATTATGAATGTTGACAGCACACATTCAGTCTATAGCAAGTTCCAACAGCCCTAACACCCATGTCATCAATAGATGAACAAACAAAATACACTGTATGCACAGAGTAAAATATCATTCAGCCTTTTATATGGAAAGTCTGATTCATGGCACAAAGTGGATCAGCCTCAAAGACATTAAGTTAATGTGAAATAAGCCAGACACAAAAGCATGAATGTTGCATGTTCCCATTTATCAGAGGTACCTAGCGTAGTCACATACATAGACACAGAAAGCAAAAGGGTGGTGAATGGAGCCTGGGAATAAATAGCATGAGAATTTACTGTTTAATGGATACAGGTTTAAGTGTGTGCTAATCGAAGTACTAGAGATGGATGGTAGTGAGGGTTGCAGATGATGGGAAAGTACTTCACATATAGCAATGATTTAAACAGCAAACTCTAGGCTATGTATGTGTGACTGATCTCAGGCAATGCTACTTACCCTCTCTATGCTAAAATTTCCTTATCTGGAAAAAGAGATGAAAATAAATACCCTCCCTTCCCTCACACATTCACATACAAATATGAAATGAGAGAGCATATATATGAAATGGCTTTTTAATTAGTAGTTATATAAATGAATAGTGGTTTGAATTTATTTATTTATTATAAAAGATGTATTTATTTGAAAGTAAGTTACAGAGAGAGAAGGAGAGACAGATAGAGACCTTCCATCAGCTGTTTCACTCCCCAGATGGGGCTGGGCCAGGCCAAAGCCAGAAGCCAGGAGTTTCACCCAGGTCTCCCACTTGGGCCATGTTCTGCTGCTTTTCCCAGGCTGTTTGCAGGGAGCTGAATCAGAAGTGGAGCAGCTGGACAAGAATCAAAAATACCCATAGGGGATGCTGGCATTGCTGATAGAGGCTTTATCCACTACACCACAATGCCAGCCCCTAGCAGTTTGAATTTATTAAGCACATACTGTATTCCACAGACCAAATTATTTCATCTTCAGGAAATATACTGGAGGTAGGTATCATTATAACCTGCCCTGTACAGATGAGGAACCCAAGGAATAGAGAAGTTAGGTAAAGCTCTGCAAGTTTCATAACTGCTAAGAGGTGGAGTAAGGATTGGAACCCAGTTAAATATGATTCTGGAGCTGCAACTTCTGTTGGACAGTAACAGAAAGTGGCTTAGATCAGACCTCAAGCTCAGTTGCCATTCAGCAAAGCAATGTTTATGGGTTGCATGTCTGTACTTCAATACTCACCTTGCTCAGAGTGGTCCAGACCAGAGGACCAAAACCATGTGAAATCATATACTACTGATAAACTTCTGACAAGTAACTTTACAATTTACAGTGGGACGTAGATTACTGTACCTACTGGAGTAGTTATATGAAGGTAATTCAAAAAGTTTGTGAAAGATGGAAATAAAAGATGAAAGAAATGAATTTTAAAGGTAAAAATTAAATTAAAAGGTAATGGAACTAGGCCGGCGCTACGGCTCACTAGGCTAATCCTCCACCTTGCGGCGCCGGCACACAGGGTTCTAGTCCCAGTCGGGGCGCCGGATTCTGTCCCGATTGCCCCTCTTCCAGGCCAGCTCTCTGCTGTGGCCAGGGAGTGCAGTGGAGGATGGCCCAAGTGCTTGGGCCCTGCACCCCATGGGAGACCAGGAAAAGCACCTGGCTCCTGCCATCGGATCAGTGCGGTGTGCTGGCCGCAGTGTGCCAGCCGCGGCAGCCATTGGAGGGTGAATCAACGGCAAAAAGGAAGACCTTTCTCTCTGTGTCTCTCTCTCACTGTCCACTCTGCCTGTCAAAAAAAATAAATAAATAAAATAAAGACATGGTGAGAGGTTAAATCTTAGCCTCATGTGAGCAGAAAATAAATAAAACAATAAAGAGTGCTCCAGTTCAGACTCCACTAAGACTTAAGTACTTACTATGTACCAAGTGCAATGTTATGTGTGTTAAGAATAACATTTAATAGGCCGGCGCCGCGGCTCAATAGGTTAATCCTCTGCCTGCGGCACTGGCACCCCAGGTTCTAGTCCCGGTCGGGGTACCGGATTCTGTCCCGGTTGTTCCTCTTCCAGTCCAGCTCTCTGCTGTGGCCAGGGAGTGCAGTGGAGGATGGCCCAAGTGCTTGGGCCCTGCACCCCATGGGAGACCAGGAGAAGTACCTGGCTCCTGCCATCGGATCAGTGCAGTGTGCTGGCCGCAGTGCGCCGGCCGCGGTGGCCATTGGAGGGTGAACCAACGGCAAAAGGAAGACCTTTCTCTCTCTCTCTCTCTCTCTCACTGTCCACTCTGCCTGTCAAAAAATAAATAAAATAAAATAAAAAAATAAAAAGGTAATGGAACTAAAAAGTATTTTGGTGCAAAAAAATTGAAATATATAGGTTTTAAATAATATGCAATTTCCATTAACTTTTTGAAGGCCCCCTCCCCCGATCATATTCAAAAATTAGGAAACTTTGAGAAAGTGAAAAACAGCTAACAGTGCTCTCAAATAGTTTTCAATGCTGAGAAATTTGGAACCTCCTGAGATATCCTGGTGAACTAAATTTTGTTTGTTTGTTTTAAGGGCCAGATTGTTCAAGATCATCCAATACAGGGTGCAACTTGCCTCTACCATGCCAGAAACATCCAATATGCCCTCTGATTTTTTGTTTTGGAGACTTTGGGTTTGTACATCTTCATGACATCATTGGCTTCATTTCAAAAGATTTTCGTAACAAGTAAAAATGTTTACTCTGCTCACATTTTAGGTCTGTTGTTTCCTATTGATGTGGATGATGGTACCTTGAACTTGTTAATTTGTCTTCATATCAGATTTTAGGGTGAGCTGCTTTCAGTTGAATTTTCTAAACTAATTTAAAACTATCCATAGCAGTTAGAATCTTATTAAGGGGAGGGGCCGGCGCTGTGGCACAGCTGTTAAAGCCCCAGCCTGCAGCTTTGGCATCCCATATGGGCAGCCGGTTTGAGTCCCAGCTGCCCCACTTCTGATCCAGCTCTCTGCTGTGGCCTGGGGAAGCAATAGAAGATGGCCCAAGTCCTTGGGCTCCTGCACTTGTGTGGGAGACTCAGAAGAAGCTCCTGGCTCCTGGCTTTCGATCGGCACAGCTCTGGCTGTTGCGGCCAATTGGGGAGCAGAGGATGGAAGACCCCCCCTACCCCCGCTCCCTCTCTCTCTGTAACTCTGCCTTTCAAATAAATAAATAAGTAAATCTAAAAAAAAATCTTATTAAACTTTTTTCTAAACTTTGCTTTTTCCATTCATTAATGTTCCTCTTAAGGCTCATCTGATTGATTGTCAGTTACAGAAATTGAATGATCTTTACACAGTTAGGAATAATTATCTATATACAGATAACCGTTCATGGGAAAAAGATAGAAGAGTAACCAGTAGCTTCATAATTTGGAGCATAGCTTAACAATGTTATGTGTGTTAAGAATAACATTTAATAGGCCGGCGCCGCGGCTCAATAGGTTAATCCTCTGCCTGCGGCACTGGCACCTCAGGTTCTAGTCCCGGTCGGGGCGCCGGATTCTGTCCCGGTTGTTCCTCTTCCAGTCCAGCTCTCTGCTGTGGCCCGGGAGTGCAGTGGAGGATGGCCCAAGTGCTTGGGCCCTGCACCCCATGGGAGACCAGGAGAAGCACCTGACTCCTGGCTTTGGATAGGTGGGGCGCGCCAGCCGTAGCAGTCATTTCGGGGGTGAACCAACAGAAAAAGGAAGACCTTTCTCGCTGTCTCTCTCACTGTGTAACTCTGCCTGTCAAAAAAAAAAAAAAAAAAAAAAAAGAGAGATATACATAGGATGCCCACATCGCACATCGGAGTACCTAGATGTGAGTCCCAGCTCTGTTAATGAAGGCAGGGACAGCAAAATGGAGACAGGATTGTGTTCCTGGATCCCGGCTCTGGCCCTAGCTCAGCGCTAGCTTGTATGAGTTCTTTGGGAATGAACTAGTAGGTGGAAACTGCTTTGGTTGTTTCTCTGTCTTTGCCTGTCAAACAAACAAAATTTTAACCAAGCAACACAAACCTCAAACTTAAATTTCCTGGAGCTTCTGCATATTTTTGGTTTATAAAACCACTGGCTTGGAGCCAGTGCTGTAGCATAGCAGGTAAAACCACTGCCAATATGGGCACTGGTTCAAGTACCCGGTGCTCCACTTCTCACTCAGCTCCCTGCTCATATGCCTAGA